CTCTGGATGCGTCGACCAAAGGCCCGTGGTCCCGGGCCATCTGGGCTGGGACTCTGGTTGTCTAGCCGGCAACCATGCCTAGGGTGCGTTTCACCGCTCCCCTCGATGGTCTAGACGGGGCCCATGTTGCCCGATGGACGTCATCATCATGGCGGGCCTGACGTTGAATGCTGATGACGTTGTGAGCGTCTTGGTTCGGACCGAGGCGTTCATGCACAGGGGGCCAGTGTGGAGCGGGCGCCAGGTTAGACCGTGGTGCAGCTATGGCCTCCTATGCCACGCTTGGTGGCTGTAGCGGCGAGCAGATGGAGCGATTCATCTGGTGCATCCCCACTCCCCTGGTGGGGAGAGAGGCCGTGATGCGGAGCTCTCCGCCTGTTGAACGGCGGCGGTTTCCACCAGTGCCCGGAGGTTCCGGTGGATCGCTTGTTCCTAGGGGTCGTCTGGCTCGGGAAGGCCACGCAGAAGCATCGCGGCCGTGGCGATGTTCTGGCTAGCCCGAGTGAATTGTGGGGGATCGTTCCCCCCGTTGATGATGTTGCGCTGAACCTGGCGAGCGCAACCCTGAGCGCCGCTCACCGGGTTACGCGCATGGGGCACAGCGTGCTGCGATGAGCACACCGGCGCAGGTGGCGGTTGGTTCTGCCGCCTTTGTCATAGTTCCTCGCCGTGCTCCTGCGCGCACGCGAGGGCCCCTGCATGAGGGTTCGGAGAGGTGTGGGTCTGTAGAGACTTCGCCACCACCGGCGGCTGTCCCGAAGCGTCCGCCATAGCGCACTCCTGGTACAGTGGGTGGCTAGGTGCCACGACATCGCCGATGCTGGAGCCGTCACTCTCAACATCGTCATCCATGAGGTCGTGGAAAGAGGCGGGATCATAGCTCGCCATCCCCACAAATTTGGATGTGAGAGGAGGCGGCGCTAGCATCCTTCGAAGCACCTGTGCGTACGCATCCACGGGGGACGCGAGGCCGTAGGGGAACCGGTTGTATGGCGGTTGCGGTAGGGACAGCGGGGTCCCTCCGAAGAATCGGCGGAAGATAGTAAATAGCGAGTAAATAACAAAGCGTACATTACTCATAGTTGGGTTTGAGCCTAGCGCAGGCTCGGAGCGAAGTGCAGGCGCCTCGTCGTCGAAGTTGTCGGGAGTCCCGGAGCCGACGGTGGGCGCCCCTCCGACAGGCACCGGAACAAGTGCCTCCTTACGGAGGCGAAGCACGTCGAGCTGGTCGGCGACGAAGCCCAGGCTCCCGAAGAGGAAGGTCTGGGATGGCTTGAGGACGGGTGGAACCCACATCCCAGCAGGTGGGAGTACGGGAAACTCCAGCGAGCCAAAGCGAGTCGTATCGCTTGAGCCCGCTATGGCGAAGATGGCAGAAAAGTGGGCCATCCGATGACCAAAAGCGTGAGTGTACGACGTCTTCCACACGAACGGCGCCAACTGTCGGTGCAGAAAGTGACCAACATGTAAATATTTATAGTTTTGATGTACATTGTGATCGGATGTGGCCTATCACTCAATGACACAGGGTTTATACTGGTTCAGGCAACGTGCCCTACGTCCAGTTTGAGTCGGTTGATGACTTTATTCCGGAGCCCAGGTGCTCGAAGTTTGCTGTGGGGTTACAAACGAGAGGAAAAAAGATGGGGTGCAAGAGGTCCGGTCGGACTCTGAACTGAAGGGCCGAGAGTGACGGGAGCTCCTACGTGAGCTAAGTATTCGAGCGGGTGCTCTGTGTAGCTTTAGAGTGTCTAAAGCTTAGCAGAGAGTGAGTCGATCGTTGGTTGTTTGAATGCTTGATGTGTGTTCGAGTCCTCCCGAATCTGGAGAGAGTGCATCCCCTTTTATAGATGAAGGGGACAGCCTTACAAGAGAGAAAGAGAGAGAGAGAGAGAGAGAGAGAGTACGTATGCTACTAAGTATTGTTGCCCACGCCGTCGGGTACAAGATGATTGTAGGCGCCCACAACACTGTTGATGCCAGACGCATGTGGGAGGTTTTACCGTATTCACCATGTATGGCAAATGACGGTGCCCACAACACTGTTGATGCCGAGAGGCATGTGGGGGTTTTACCGTGTCCACCTGGTATGGGATTTGATGGCGTCCACAACACTGTAGGGCAAACATCGACGTCCACAACACTGCTTGGGTTCTGACATGCCTGGAAGGTTGCAGGGCACCCTTCTGATATGCCCTATCGGTACTGTCCTGCAGGTGTACAATGTACGGTCCTTGATATTGTGGTTGACTTGAGCGCCCTGCCTTACTTGCTCAGCCTGTTTCCTGGGTCCTCACCGAGCGGGCGTCCTCGGTCGGTTAGTGCTAGTCGGCTCCGACTGCACAAGTCAGAGAAGAGCTATAAGCAGAGGTTCGGTGCATCCCCGGTCGGAGACGCGGGTCGAAGTCGGAAGCGGCGTTGGCCAGGCCTTCCGGTTGTAGAAGCGGGTCGGAGCCAGGCCTTCCGATCGGAGATTGAATCACCCTTCTGGCCTGTCGTTTAGGTATTTTGGGCCGGCCCAGGAGTTGCGCGTCGTTCACAACGTCGTTTGCTAGGCCAAGCTTTTGCTGGGAAGCAGGTCTATGAGGTTCTCTGGGTTTATGAACCCGATAATTTCAGTGGTAGGCGAATGCTTCTTGCTGACTCAATTTTTAGAGGTGTTCAGGGAAAAGAATATATGTGTGCGCGTGTGTTCATAAGATGAGTGTGAGTACGTTTTTAAGTGTATGCATCTGTACTATGATTTGAAAAAAAATGATCACAAACTAAAAAAATCTAGGTAAACATTGATTAATGAGTGAACATATCAAAGAACCACCAGTTACGGGTTGCACCAAGGAGTCAGGGACAAAATTCTAATTTCTCATATTTCGATAGCTTCTGATACACGCTGCGCTTCCATTTGGATGATGGAAACATATCTTTTTCTAACGCTTTCAAACGGCACTATAGCTTAGCGATTGGAGCTAAAATATTGTTAACGATTCTAGAGCCAATCTCAATACGGATTTCATAAAGTTTCATGGACATTAAGGACCTGTTTGGCATGGCTCTCCAAAACGGCTCCGGCTCCTCTGTTTTTTTACTGAAAAACGGCTCTTCCAAGAAAACGTTTGGCAGGGCTCCTCTGGAGGAGCCGGAGCCAGAGCCGGAGAGAAGCCCTGCCAAACATGCTATATACTGACATGACACTGTGTTAATGAAGAAAGAGATGATAAGAGTTTCATGGAGTAGAGAGAGGTTCATGGGAATAAACTCTTCTGTACTGTTTCTAAAATACTAGTGTGTTAGAAACTGAGACATGAAATTGGCATTGAGACTGGCCTAAGATTTCCTTAGCTAAGGACCAAAATAGAATTAGGTGGTTTCACATAATTCTTGTCATCTTGTGCCAGCTCATGTGCGCTCCTGCTATGTATTTTTTCTTGCTAATCATTCTAAGTACAATAAGCTAAAACGTGTTGTATTTAAGTTCTTCTACACGCACAAAAAATTCCTAAATTTCATGAATATTTTTAATTACTTATATGATTTTTTGTAGAAAAATATTTTAAAGTTCAGAATCGAATGTACCAGTAAAACAATCTCATAAAGTGATTCTGGCTCATCATCTAAAATATTTTTTTAAGAAATATAGATCCAAAACATTTCTATAGTGATATGTATCCCTACCAAACAGCAACCCTCACACCGGTGAATCTGCTCCGCCTTGTTTAGATGTAATCGGATTCGCATCAATCCATATGTATTGGGTGGATTGGAGTAGAACTTAACTAAATTTCATCTCAATCCACCTCAACACATGTAGATAAAGGTGAATCTGACAACATATAAACAAAAGCCTAAGGCGTTTTGAATGTCTTTTTGTTGCATGTAATGTTATGCTCGTGCATGCAATTGTATGGCATGGTATATGTTTTTTAAGGTAAACGAAACTTTCCTAATTTAACTTACAACCATACCAGATTCATGTGGGTGTGCACAATGTTCTAACTCTAAAATACTTAAATTCATTACGTGCTACTATCAATCCGTATACATGAATAGCACATTTGGAATGTAGAACGGGCATTATGTGTTGGAAAACATGTATACCGATGGGTGCTAGTGCTAGCGCCTGTTGATCAGGATAGATACTCGGTTAGTCTAGGTTGTTAGCTGTCTTCCTTTTCTTGTAACTTGAGTTGTATAGGATAGATCTTATCCTCCATTTCTCAGCATGTTCGGTTGACTGATTCGTTTCGTTGCTGGTTCATGAAGAAGTACTGTTGGCTGGTTTGTGTGAGAGAAAAATACTGTTCCGGCTGAAAATTTACGATCGTTTACGACAAGCCACAACCAAACAAACAGGCTGAGACAGGTAACCGAGCCTGCGGCTATTCCCGTGTTCCATATAAGGCCCCGTTTAGTTTCACTCAAAATCCAATTTTTTTTGCGCAGTACCTGTCACATCGAATCTTGCGGCACATGCATGGAGTACTAAATGTAGACGAAAAAAAAACTAATTACACAGTTGGCCGAGAAATCGTGAGACGAATCTTTTAAGCCTAAATAATTCATAATTGAACAATTTTTACCAAATACAAACGAAAGTGCTACAGTAGCCAAAAGTCAAAAAAAATTCGAAACTAAACACGCCCTATAACCGAGACCCAGGAGGGGGCATCTTGTTCACCTCATTTCTTTCACGTCACGGATTGTTTAGAAAAATTATAAGACGAAAAAGCTAGGTTATTAGCTCAAAAAAACCAACAAAAAATACAAAGAAGGGTGTTCATCACGACGACACATACTATACGGTTATATAGCATACGGTTACTTCCCTCCCTCCACAAGATCGAGACCAAAAGTCATGTACCGCTGACGAGTGGGTCCCACACCTGTGGTCCCCTCCTCGAGTCGTGACTCCGCTCCGCTGCTCCTCGCCGCCGTCACGCGTGGTGATCTGTGCCGCCGCCGCCGGCATTGCCCTTGCCTTGCCCCCACACCCAAACACTCCTATGGGCCGCAAGAGCAAGAAGGGCGGCAGGAGCAGGAAGCCGCCCCGCCCCGCGGGGTGCCCGGCGCCGCCGCCGACCAACGCGGACTGGGAGGACTCCACCGCCGCCTTCCGGAAGGAGGCCGAGTCCGCGATCCGCGCCGCGCGGTCGTCCCACTGCCACGACGACGGCTGCGCCGCGGCGGCGGCCGGCCTCACGGAGCGCCACCCGGCGTCGCCCCTGGCGCACCACATCCTCGGCCACGCGCGCGCCTCGGTCGACGCGCGCGCGGGCGACGCGGTCCCGCCGCGCCGCCGAGCTCGCCCCAGGATCGCCGCCACACGCGCCTCCGCGCTCCTCTACGCGCGCCGGCCCGGAGAGGCCCTCACGGAGTGCGCGCGCGCACTCGACGACGTGGCGGACCCTACCGACCCGGCCCTGCACGCCGCCGACGCCGCCGCTGGCGCCTCCCGCCGCGCCGCGCTCGTGGCAACAACGAGCCCGCATGCGCGCGTCGCGGCGGCGCGGCAGCGGCTACTCGGGGTCCACGCCGACGCGGAGGCCCTCGAGGCCACGGGGGTCCGCCAGGCCACCGCGCCACCCGTGGGCGTGGCGGCGCCGACGACGAAGCCACTGTGCTGTTGCCGCCACGCCACCACGCGGAAGGCGGTGACCGACGACGACCTGCGCGGCTTTCTCACGGTGAACCTCGACGACCTGAGGTCCTACTGCGACCAAACGGGCGGCGGCGGCGTGCATCTGCTCACCTGCGCAGTGGAGTTTGCCAAGGCCACAAAGGCATGGGCGTACTGGCTGTGCCCTGTGTGCGACATGGTTTTCTTGGACGCAAACTCGTTCGTGTCACACGTCGAGGGCGAGTACATCGATGAACTCCAAGAACTGCAGCCGTTGATGCCGAAAAGAGCAGCCTTGGATTCCGAAGAGCTTCAGTATTCCTTGAAGTGGACGTCATTTGAGATGGGAGAAGAAGATGTAGAGCGAAGAAAGAACTTGGACAGGATCAAGGATGTCTTTTCTGGCCTCAATACATTTAAGGCTCTCTCTGTTGGCCTTGTGGACAAGGTCAAGTTTGCGAGGAGCAGGTCCAAGAAACCATTGCCATATTGCATTCCTTCCTGTGTCACCTCATTGGACTCCATGGAAATTCAGAGACTCGATAAACCATTGGACCAGCTTTATAATCATTTATCCAGAGGCTGGGAATTCGTGAGGATTTTGGGTGATGAAGGGAAGAACAAGGAAGGTCGTTCTGATATCATATCTCTGGTTCAAGATGGGACCTTATTATCTTTGGACGCTGAGAAGGTTGCTTCAAGAACAAAGGATGGTTCTTGCGAGGAGGATGCGCTGTTTAGATGGCTGTTAAATTTTCTGGAAGAGGTTGCGATGCCATGGGCCAGCTTGAGGCAGAAGTGTGTCCATCATGGAAACAAGTCCTGGAAAGGATTTATGGAATATCAGATTTATTGCTGAGACAATTTGATATGAAGTGTGCTGCAAAGAAGAAAAATCATAGGGATTATTCCCTTATGGAGGTCCTTACTTTGCATGTTAATGGTACTTATATTTCAATTTATAACTCACTGTGGGTTTAGTGCAATCAGATATAAGGAAATTATATCTTTGAGGCAGTGGAAAATAGAAGGAAGTTCGACACATATATTACTACTAAACAGAAAGAGTGCATCTCACTTTTCTTGATTCTTGTCTGTTGATGTTCAGATTTTTCCTGTCAAACATGCAGGCAGATTCTATAGATGTTGGAGATGTTGCTACTGGATAATGAAGTGGGCTATTTAAAGAGCAAGCTCGTGGAAGTTTGTACATTTGATTACGGTGCTGCCATTTTGCCTCTTATTAGGGCTTATATATGGGTTAGTGTAGTGCTTATGTCACTTAATTGTTGCATGTCTTTTATCATATTAGTTGCTTGTATTCATGGTTGTCTCCACAGGATAAGTTGAATAATTCTGCTGGAGAAGACTCACAGGATGGGGGTGATAAAAATGCTGTCAATAATGGAGATGGTTTAGATAATCTGCATGAGGAATCTTTGTTCGAAGACAAAATTCCAGACATTGATTCAGACATGCGTTTTACTATCAGCAGGACAGATGAATGTGAAAACTCCTCGCTCTCGCAATCCGGTAAACTGTAAACATCTCTCTCAATTTGTTTTTAGATATTGCTGATGATCTTGTTTCTATGAGATCCAAATACCCAACAGAAAAGGGCTTGCATCACTTGCGCGAGACCATGAGAGAAAGTTATATAAATATTTTATTAGCCATGTGATGAATGTAAAGAAATATTAATCTTGCCTGTTCTAAATAGGATATATCGTCATTTAAGATTCAGTTATTTTACCATAAATTCATGACTTGCTTATTTTGCTTACCCTGATTGACAACATTTACAGATAGCTCGAATTTTTCTACCTTGGAAGCTGAAAGTTCTTCCATAGACAGTGGTGTAGGTTCTGTACTTCACATCACTGCTGAGGGTCTGCTGTTTTTGAATGTGACTCTGCGGGTAACAAATTATTTTCGTTCGTCTTTCAAAATTTTAATATGTAGATGTTTATCCACTTGAAAAGAATAATATTATTGCAGGCATTGTGGCATTTGAGGGAGTTCCATGATAGGTTCCTGGATATGCCACTTGTACTGCCTCATCTTACTGTTGAGGTCCACTGCATTATCTGTCTTTTGCGAAAAACATTTAAAGCATGGGACAACGAGAAAGACTATGGTGTTAGAGTATGGCAGGGGTCTACTGGGCCTGGGCTGGATGTATAGCCCATTAGTGTTAGGGTTAATTAGAGATAAGGGTCGCTTGCTTATAAGTCAAGTAAACCTCTCTATATAAGGAGAGGTGATGTATCAATCTAATCAAGCAAGAATTAAGAAGGAAATCCCTTCCCTCTTGCTCGGCCGTGGGCAAGGCCCTGGCCGGCCTCCTGCCTCCCTCGCGTGAACAGCACCCGCGGGTACTGTAGCGCCGCGGGTACTGTGGCGTCGCCGCCTCTCCCTCAGCTCTTTGTGTTAGAGTATGGCAGGGGCCTATTGGGCCTAGGCTGGATGTATAACCCATTAGTGTTAGGGTTAATTAGAGATAAGGATCGCTTACTTAGGAGTCAAGTAAACCTCTCTATATAAGGAGAGGAGATGTATCAATCTAAGCAAGGAAGAGATTAGAAAGAAATCCCTTCTCTCTTGCCGGCCGTGGGCGAAGCCCCGTGGCCGGCCTCCCCCAGCGCCCTTGCAGCCCTAGCCGCCGCTGCCGTGAACAGTACCCACGGACACTGTAGCTCCACGGTACTGTAGCACGCCCTCTCATCTCCATCCCAACTGGCCACATAACATCTGGTATCAGAGACCATGGCTGGATCCTATGCCGCTGTGCCCTTCTCCACACTGCTCGCCGCACATCCCTGGGCTGCGCCGGCCCTGTTCTCCGCACCGCCGCCGGCTAGATCCTACGCCGCCGTGCCCTTCTCCACACCGCTCGGCGCACATCCCTGGGCTGCGCCGGCCCTGTTCTCCGCAGCGCCGCCGGCCGGATCCTACGCCGCCGTGCCCATCTCCACGTCGCTCGGCACACATCCTTGGGCTATGCTGGCCCTGTCCTCCGCAGCTCCACCCGTGTTCACCACCGCGCCACGCCCATCGTGGCGCCCTTACCTCGCGACAAAGCACCTGCACCTTCCACAGGCGTCTTCGGTGAGTGGATGGCGACCTTCGACCACTGCAGCGCCAGATGGACGTCCTCGCGACCCTTGTCCATAACATTGACGCACAGCCGGCGTCGGTGCCCTCATCCGCGGGCGCGCGGTCGGCGGGCCTCATCCTCAGCGTGCCGGTGCCTCCATTCACAGGTGCACAGCCGGGCGATCAGATCGCCACTGCGGCAGCAACCGTGCAAGTGGCGCTTGCGCAGAAGAGTGATTGTCAGTCTGCGACGGTGCGATTACAGGCTGCAGCACGCGGCCTCCTAGCGCGGCGCCGACTGCAGGAGATGCGCCGGCAGATGCATGAGGCGGCCTTGACGACGATCGAACGACCAACAACAACCGCGCCGACCCGTTGCTGTCTCCAGGCGTGAGCATGGTGCTGTTCCCGCAGGCGGCGCACTCCAGTTCTATGGGAGTGATGATAGAAGAAGCGCACTCCTCTTTGTCACCGGTGGAGACGCACTGCCTAGCGCTGCCGCGTTTCGCTATCGGCCACCACGAGGTCGTCTCCGCTGGTCGCTGTTGCGATTGATTCCAGACAGCCGTACCCGTGCAACCCTCTCGTTTCGATGGTCTCCATGGGATCCAGGCGGCTACTCGAGCCTGTCCAGCATGCGGAGGGTGTCCGCCGCATCTTCAGGATTCAAGAATAAAGAGTCGAGTTTATTTGAAATAAGCCGAGATGTAAAAGACTTGTTCTTAGGTGTTCAGTTTGTGTCTAGTGAAGCCATAATTAGCATCATTGTTAGGTCGCAGCTCGAGGACGAGCTGCATGTCCGGGTGGGGAGTAGTGTTAGAGGAGTCAAGGGCCTATCGGGCCTTAGGCCGTTAGGGTTAATTAGTCGCTTGCTTAGGAGTCAAGTAAACCTCTCTATACAAGGAGAGGAGATATATCAATCTAAGTAAGGAAGAGATTAGAAGGAAATCCCTTCTCTCTTGCCGGCCGTGGGCGAAGCCCTGCGGCCGGCCTCCCCCAGCGCCCTTGCAACCCTAGCCGCCGCCGATGTGAACAGTACCCGCGGACACTGTAGCTCCATGGTACTGTAGCACGCACTCATCTCCATCCCAACTGGCCACATAACATATGGAGTCACTAATTTTCCACATGATGTAGGAACTGCTTTCAGTGATATTTTGAACGAACATAACATAATCTTTTTGGGAAGGTTTGTTCCTTTCACATTATATTTTTCTACTGGACTTACTCCTGAGAGGAGCCTCCATAAAAGAATGTATTATCCAGCATTTTTATGCTACAAACCACTAGACAGATGCCTCGAAGAATATATTATTATAACATAGTACTAATGGGCACTTCATTAGGTCCATTTAAGATTCTGCTTGTAGCTAACTAGTTGAATTGTTTTTTTATTTGGTTGTAGGAAGGTATGAACATTGCATCAGAAATTATATCAACAATCTTGGAGACCAAACTTTTACAATCAAGAAGCTCCAAATCATATTTTCTTTCTACTAGTTTCATTCCTTAAAAAAACCTTTTGTACTATAAATGTGCAACTATACCAACGCATAACTAAAGCCCCCTAAATAAATTTAAATGTTCACACAAAGCCATATCAAAAGACTGATAGCATCCACGAGTGCCTTCCCTACCAAATTTTGGTAGGCCACACAAGCTTAGCACTACCAAAGAACACCATATAGCTGGAAGTGCAGAAATCCATGCAAGAAATGAAGAAAATGAACATGAATGAATCCCATGAAATGTGAGCAAACCTACTAATGTAAACAATATCCTAATATGAGAACAATTCATGTTTGCTTCATTGCTCACAAAAAGACTTGCCAGAAGTTGACATTGCATACAAGATTCAATGCCCATTTACTTCACGACCAAAATTTTGGTAAGCACACACAACTTTAGAACCACTAAAAGCACAAACTATATAGCTCAGGCAATGTGGAAATCCAACAAGATAAATTTATATGATGCAACCTCCATATTAGCAAGGTCCATTATACATAAAGGCATCATCGACACTCCTACACTCCATAACAAGAGATTCATGTTTGTATAACACCCTAAAATTTACATGATTTTAAAATAGGTGAATTTGATTTAATTATGCATTTTGTGAGCATGCAAATTTAGAAAAATAAAAACTTTGTTAAAATTAAAATCAAATATAAGGCCTAGCTACATGTTGTGCATTCATGCTGATGCATACTTATTTTTGTGATGCTTGGGTTTGATCAAATTTTAAAAGAATTTGAATTTAAATTGAAATTGGATTTGAAAATGTGTTTAAGAAAATAGAAAAAAAGAATTTTATTTATTCCTTTCCTTCTCTTGGATCTGGACCAGCTCGGCTCGGCTTCTTGCTGCCCAGACTCTTCCTCTCCCGAAGGCCCACCGGTCGCTCCCGCTTTCCCTCTTCTTCTCTTGCACTTGACCCTAGCTCAAGCAGGCGAAGCCAAGAGGGCGCGTCACTGGCCAGCGCGCCTCCTTCCCACCCTTGATGCTGCCAGGCCGGCCCCGCATGTTAGCGCGACGTCGTCTTCCACCTTCAGTCATCCCCTTCCCAGACTCTTACCGCCGTGGAGACTCTGCATCCGTCTCGCCTTCGCGTCGTGCCGTGTGCCCCACGTTCCCCCTGCCTTAAATACCGAGCCCGCACCGCGCCGTTTCCCCCCCTGCATAACCCTAGCTCGCGCTGCCTCGCGTCTAGAGCTGTCGCGCCGCTGCCGCAAACCCTAGCGCCGCCGTCCGCCGTTGCCCCGTCGAGCATTGCGTCACCTCCATCCGCTCCACGCCTCGGTAAGCTGCCTAGTCGAGTTCAACATCTCCCTCTCTTTCCCCCGTGCTTCCGGTTTGCTCTCCCGTGGCCTCTAGGGCTGCTTTCGTGATCTCCGGCGAAGTGTTTGCCACCGGCAATGGCGTCCCGCCGCGTTCGGCCCTGTTTCGGCCGGTCGGCCACGTCTTCCCTCTACGTCTTCTAATCTCAGCCATCCAATCTCGATCCAACAATTGAGATTAACCCGTACCCCTTCGCCGAGTTTATTTGTAAAAGAGCCCCTACACTTTTCCATATTCGAACCCACAGTCCACACTAGATTCAAAATTCCAATTTTTATATATTTTAATTCAAAATAGAAGATCCACTTATTTACAGTTTTGCCACTAGTTTTCTTTAGGCCATAAAATCTCCGTTTTAGCTCCGATTTGATCCGTTCAAGTTGCGTTAGATTCGTAATTGAGTAATCTACATGTTCATCCTACTGTTAAATATATTTTCAACTTTTGAAATTTAAGGTAAGATTTAATCTATTATTTTATTAAAGAAAATCTTGTTTAATTCATATTTTTTTCGTTATAGCTCCGATTAGAGTGTTTTTCACGTCTGTGTGTTCGTAGTAACACGTAGAACGTCGTTAAAACCTTTTTACTTCCTATTTATGGTGTTTGGTGTACTGTTCTAATTTAGTTCTATTGTTTGCTTCGTGTATGATTGCATGGATGCTTGTGTGGTGCTTTATGATCATGTCCAGTCGGTGAGCTATACGTGGTGAATCTAGAAGCAATTTTTTGAAGGTTTGGACTAGAAGGAGGATCTGAGTTTAAGGCAAGTATAGAATGGGATCATCCTTGTTGTCCTATATACCTTTAATCATGTAATTCATGTTGCATGTGTCTACCTTGACTACCACTAAGGATTTTCTAGTACTTTGTTATCTCGTACCTTGTCACCTATGGGGTATTGCATTGGGTAGTATGATGCTAGTGCTCAATTAAAAACCATGATCTTGTAACTTGACTAATGGTATATGCAATAAACACTAAAAGATGCTTTTAGCAACATGGAACAAGGGGCTAGAGCATTGGGCTGTTTTTATGATGCTCTAGATTCCTCTCCCTAAGGACTTATCTGTAGCGAACATCCGGGACTTACAATTACAACTGTGAGGGCTACATGGCTCTGGCTTTAGCTCAGTATGAGGACCTTTTCTAGATTGTTAGAGGTTACCTTTATGGCGTAAGAATGGCTTGACGAATCGGGTATAGGACAACATCTACTCTTATGTGTATAGCCATGATGGAATTGTGCCATTCGACAGGGGGTTCCTATATCTGTTTGCCGAGTGAATCTAATGGCCCTAACTTGTTAGACGAACCTTTGAAAGGTTTCATAGTGAACCCTGCCGACCTTCTTTGAAAGTGGGTCAAGAGATTAGCTATCTCGGGCGAAAGGGTAAATCATGACTCACAGTGAAAGTGTACAACCTCTGCAGAGTGTAAAACTGGTATATTAGTCGTGCTCACGGTCACGAGCGGCCTTGGACCCTTACGGAATAGATGATGAACACTGATGATACTGATGATAAAGATGCTCATTAATGGTTAATTGTTTATGCTATTCATTATTCATGTTTACTTGATCATGTGTTTATATGGGCTTATGAATAAACTTGTTGCCACCCAATTGCTAAAAGATGACTCATTAAAAGCTAATCGCAGTTAAACCAGTGTCAACCTTTTGAGCCTCATGAACCCCATGTTATATTTGTTAAGTATGACATGTACGTACGCTTGCTTTACTTTTTAAATCTTTGATAAAAATCCCGAATGGGTACCAGATTGCTAGAGTTTGGAGGAATTAGGTTTGTGATCAACCAGTCAGTTGTCCCTGTGGAATTGGAGTCTTCACCCGAGGATCGGAGTTGTCTTTTCGCTGTTTGCTATCTAAGGTTATATTCTTTATACTAAGTACGTTATATATTGAGCATTGTCTTTGGATTAGCTATATGTGAGATTAGACTTCTTGGACTCACATATGGTGTGTATCTGGTTTTGTTCTTAAAACCGGGTGCTACAGTTGCCTCATTGCTAAAGGAAGGCATATCAAAAGTTGTTCATGAGATGTATTCTTATCTAATTCAATACCAAATTTTGGTAGCGTACACAACTTTAGCATTATCATAAAAGCACAAATTATACCGCTTATAGTATGGAAATCAAAGCAAGTGTTGTAATATGATTCAGCCTCAGTAGATGTGATCAAATCCCACTTGTATAATGACATCACCTACACTCCACAACATGATCACGATTATTTTTGCTTCATTGCTAAAATAGTTCAGCAAAAGTAGGTAACGGTCGCGAGGATCATGTGCCTTACCAAATTTTGTTACCATAACTATGTTGTACAGCTCATGCAGAACATCCAGGCAAGCAAAACTGATTACGCTTGTTTGGGCTAGCCAACGGACACAATGGACAAGGCTAGGTAACCACGCATAGAAGGATGGGATAGATGACAACACGTACAAGATTCATTGGCCATTTAATTCACTAGAAAAAGTTTTGGTAAGCCTGCACAACTTTAGCCTTACCAAAATCACACTGTGCAGCTTGAGCAATGAGCAAATCCAGTGCACATACATCAAAAGAACAACTGAATATGGTGGAACCTCATGGAATGTGAGAAAGCCCATTAACATATAGGCATCACTTGTACTCAGTAACAAGAGTACCAATCATGTTTGCTTCAAGTTCTCACAAAAAGGCTTAGCAAAACTTGATAGCAACCACAAGATTCATCTACCACTTAATTCTCTATAATATTTTGGCAGCCAAATTTTTTTTATACAAATCAACTAATGAAAATATTTGGTCAACCAAAACGATTGCTCTTGTTTTGGCTCACCAATGGTAACAAGTGACGAGCTAAGTGACAAATGCACATAGGAGGATGAGCTAGTAGACAGTACATGTTGGAGGATGGACCCTATATGGATTCCAAACTTTTACAACCAAGAAGCTCTAAATCATATTTTCTTTCTACTAGTTTCATTCCTTAAAAACTTTTGTATCGTAAATGTGCAACTATACCAACACATACCTAAAGCCCCATAAATAAATTTGATGGAGCCTCACCAAATGTGCACAAGCCCTAATTCATATTTGTTTCATTGTACACACAAAGCCATATCAAAGGATTGATAGCATCCATGAGTGCCTTCCCTACCAAATTTTGGTAGGTCACACAAGTTTAGCACTACCTACCAAAGCACACCATATAGCTGGAAATGCAGAAATCCTTGCAAGCAAAATGAACATGAATGAATCCCATGAAATGTGAGCAGACCCGCTAATGTAAACAATCACATGCATGTCAGTAATAGCATAATAGAACAATTCATGTTTGCTTCATTGCTCACAAAAAGATTGACCAGAAGTTGACAATGCATACAAGATTCAATGCTCATTTACTTCACTACCAAAATTTTGGTAAGCACACACAACTTTAGAACCACTAAAAGCACAAACTATATAGCTCAGGCAGTGCGGAAATCCAACAAGCTAAATTTATATGATGCGACCTCCATATTAGAAAGGTCCGTTATACATAAAGGTATCATATACACTCCATAACAAGTGATTTATGTTTGCCTCATCGTTAAAGATAGGCTTACCAAAAGTTGTTCATCAGATGTATTCGTTATCTAATTCACTACCAAATTTTGGTAGCCCACACAACTTTAGCATTACCATAAAAGCACAAATTATACCGCTTATAGTATATGGAAATCAAAGTTAAGCGTTGTAATATGATTCAACCGCAGCAGATGTGATCAAATCCCACTTGCATAATGGCATCACCTACACTCCACAACATGATCACGATTATTTTTGCTTCATTGCTAAACGGTTCAGCAAAAGTAGGTAACACTCGCGAGGATCATGTGCCTTACCAAGTTTTGTTGCCACAACTATGCTGTACAGCTCATGCAATGCAGAACATCCAGGCAAGCAAAAATGATTACGCTTGTTTTGGTTGGCCAACGGACACAATCGACATGTCTAGTAACAACCGCGCATAGAAGGATGGGATAGATGACGACTGCACACTGAAAGGTGGACCCCACATAGATTTTTAACTTTTAGGATTTGATCATATAATCTCATCTTCTAATACAGATCTAGAATACTCCTATGCACCATTGTTGTACAAGTATCTACATCTACAAATAATAAAACCACTTCCCAGTTGAAAAAAAAACGCTTCTCCTAGGACTGCCTAGTCTTGTAAGCAACATCACTGACTGGTGGGCCCAATAGAATCAAACCAAACCAAAACCCTCTTCCCCATGTCAACATCTCCATCGACCTGCCCCCAAAATCTCATGAGCGCGACAGCACGGGCCACGGCGCAGCAGCAAACCGGGCACACCTCACCGCGGCGGCCACCGCCCGCCGGCCCCCCACCACCCTCTTCCACGGCGTCACTATAAACCCCTCCACCTTTCCTTCGCCTCCACGGCTCCATCGCACCACCTCCCCAAAACCCAAACAAACCCCTCGCTCCGCCGCCCGGACCCCGCCGTCGCCGCGGCATTTAACCGAACACCCGCGCGCGCCCCTCGCCGCCTTCCGACCGCGATGGCCGACGCCGCCGAAGCGGACGCGGAGGCCGTCCCGCGCCGCGGCCACGGAGGTGCTGCTCCTCGACCACGACGGCCACAACCACGAGGCGCTCGCCCGCGCCCGCGACCTCATGCTCGCGCACCAGGACCTGGCGGTCACGCACCGCCTCCTGGGCGAACTCCACTACGCCGCCGCCGTCCGCGCAGCCCATGGCGACGGCACCGCGGATGCCAGGAAGGCCGCGGCGGCGCGCGCCTCCGCGTCGCCCGCGACGCGCTCGCCGCGGCGCGCCGCCTCGCCCCCGACTGCGTCGACATCGCGGCCGCGCTCGGCGACGCCTTCGCGGCCTCCCGGATGTTCAAGGAGGCCGAGGTCGAGTACCTCCGCGCGCGGCGCATCCCGCAGCCTTCCGACCCGGCCCTCCACAACGCGTCCTACGGCATGTTCGAGGGCTACGAGCACGAGCGCGACCCGGACTTCGCGAGCGAGAGGGTGGAGGAGGCCAGGGACCGGGCCCGCGCCTCCTACGCCCGCATGACGGTCGAGGAGCTCGTCCCGATCGCGATCCACCGGGTGCTCGAAGCCGGCAGGCAGCTCGGCGCGGCGGACGGGCGCAAGCAGGCCAAGCTCGTCGCCGAGACCTTCCCCAACCTGGGGCGCGCGCAGTACCTCGCCGCGTACATGGACCTGGAGTTCGTGCGCAGCCTCGACGCGGCCATTGACAAGCGCCCGTTCCTGCGCCGCACCCTCGTCATCACCGAGCGCGCCGCGCGGGACTACCCCAAATCTGCCGTCATCGCCTCCTTCCACGCGAAGCTCCTCTTCGTCCTGGGTGAGTACGACGCGGCCGAGACGGAGTGCCGCCGCGCGCTGGAGATGGAGCCCGATGACCCGCAGCAAGACTGCATCCCGGTTGGGTCAATCAGCGGGGACAACCGTGGCACCAGGCTGGTTTCGCTGGCCTGCGAGTTCCATGAGCTGATCAACAAGATCCTGATTCTGGCCAGCGATTACTGGGACTCTATGAGCACTGAGTGGCAGCGTAACAGCTTCCTACAGGTCAGGTTCGATGTGCTGCAGGATGAGTACCTCAAGGTTGATCGGTCGTATGCGTTCACCATGTCTGATGTGCGGAGCTTTGTCAAGGAGCACAAGTCCTGGAGGTTCTGGATTTGCCCCCCTTTGTGATCGCAAGAAGTTTACGGACACTGGTTTGCTATTGTCACACATGTGCAGCAGGCACCCAAGGGCAGTCCTGCCACGGCTTCAGTCAGTATTGGATCAGAAACTGAGTGATGAAGCATTGGAGAGTGATGATTCTCTGGATGGGGTGACATTTTGTGAAGATTCAGAACAGCAAGACATGGTGATATGCTTCAATAAGAGCAGCGAGGTATTCAAATGGTTGTTCTATGCACCTTCAAGTGGAGTACGGCCAAAGCCATTTCCTGAAATACGAGAAAAGAAGTGTGAGAAAGGACGTATGCTGCTTGAAAGCATAAAGGACAAAATGAAGACTCTACCTGCAGATAGATCTACTACTGAGGTTCGTCAACTTTAAGTGACGCCGCATGACTTCGATTTGGCATTTCTTCCTTAGATGAATTCTTGCACTTGCACTTTATATATTAGTGAGAGTCTAATGTTTCACTATATCTCTGCATCGCAGTTCGCCAAGGCTATTCCTGAAATCCAGGAGGGGTGGCATAAGTTTCTCAAATCTTCTGTATTGGATTATCGAGAAGCCATTCTTGAACTTGCAAGATCATTCCTATGGGTTCGTTATCTCTGAATTTTCTTGCTTAGGTCAAGTTATACAGTTGTTTGCTCATATTGTATATGGCAACCATGTTTGCAGAGAGAATTAAAGAAATGCATGACTGAAGATCCAGAACTCGCTTCTAAGTCGATCAGTGCTGCTGATATTGATGCCATATTCACCAAAGAACTTGTTAATCCTGCCAGCAATGCTGTTGAGGTAAAGATCTAGATGAAGGTTGTTTCTGCTATTTTCACATTTCCCCCAAATAATAATATGAGGGCTAATGATCTGTGGACCACTCTTATGTTGTTTTATTGTTTCATTAGTTGATGCAAATAAAAGATAGAAGTAAATTACTACACATGGCATTTCTTTCGGTATTGTTATTGTTTCATCCGATGATTCGGGAAAAATACAAGTACTAACAAAGCGAATTCCTTTCAGTCTTGCCAAACAGAGGGTGCTCTAATGGTCAGTGGAAATCGTCAAGAAAGGTAATGTCTATATAACAGTCCTGTTCATAGCTTTGATTGATATTGTCAATTGTGTATTAGTTTGATGAACTGATTCAATGGGATGAGCAACATGACATTGTTTAGGGTTGTCTAGAATAGAACTGGGTTGTTTCAAACACATCTAATGTCCAATTAAGCATATTGTCCAGTTGTGCCTATTCATAATATTAGAGTATTTGTTGGTGTCACAGTCACACAGAAGTTTCTTCAACACTTCTAAACACAGAAACCAAGATATTTACTTACATTTCTACAATTATATTTGTGCTTAGATCATATTTTTTTTCCCAAGCGGGTAGTACAGTTCACCATCTGCATGCAAGGAGGGTATCCAAATAATCCACTGGTTTTCTTTTTAGAAATTTCTCTTTGGTTTCCTTTTTAGAGTTGCCACTGGTTTCCTTTTTAGAAATTTCTCAAGACTTGTTTGTATACAAATAATCCACTTCCACTTAATGTCCTTTTCTTTTCTCACCTGCTCAGCTCACAAGTTTCATTATGGTTGCAGTAATGTTCATGACGAAGGGGAGAGTTCTGAGAACCCGAGAAAGAATACAGAATCGCCAGATCCGGCAATCAGTGTGGTAGAAAGTGAGACTGACCTTGCTGCAAAATTGGAAAGGTAATGATACTCTAGTTTGTTGTTTCCTGCTTTATACATTTTTTCTGAGTTAGTTACTTGATGTCCTGCATCTTAGTTTGATTAATTGTAAAATGTCAGTTCAACAATGTGTTTTTATCTTTTTTTTTGAGGAACTTGTGTCTTTGCCAGCAAATTGTCATATTGATCCTGACTTCACACTTGATGTAATAAACCATGTTAGAATCGTTATTATCAATTGTGGCACACTGGCTCTATTTTTTATATCTTACTGTTTGCAATTATACACTCGAATGGAATTACCAGCATGAAATTATTTATAGGTTTCTAGTATAGAAATGGGGTGTCTAATAAAGCATCTTGTCCAGTCGTGCCTATTCCTAATATTGGAGTAAACACAAGGAGGCTATTATGTCATCACGATACTCAGCCATTAACCATAATCCTGACACTGGTTTCACTTTTCAAAATTCATCTAGACTTTTGGGTATCCAAAGAATCACCTCTCACTTAATGTCCATTTTGTTTCTCACCTGCTCAACTTACAAGTTTCATTATCATTACAGTGAGGTTCATGTTGAACACGAGAGTTCTGATTCCCCAGCAAGCAGGAATGACCTAGATGAAAAGACTGACCCAAAGCTCAGTGATAATAATAAGGAAAGGTAATATTTATTCTGGTTTACTACTTCCTGGCTGGTTTATACACTTTACAGAATTATTTACTCGATGTCTTTTCTGTAATATAGTTTTAATGGTGTCATCAAACATCTTGTAGTTCAACAGACTGCTTCTATCTTGTTCCTTCTTTTTCAAGGAATTTGTTTGTATCTTTGTCGACAAATTATCTTCTTGATTGTGATTACCCAACTGGTAATGAACAACATGACATTAATAGGGTTTCCTATTTTGAAAAGTGTTTTTACTTTTAAAAAAAAAAAAAAAATCGCTAGCATCCTGTATTGCCTATCTGTACAAAATGGGCATATTACATAGCAACAGCTAAGATGTTTGCTGTGTACAACTGCTAAGCAATACTGAATGTTACTACTAGCTTTCCAGAAATGGTTATATTTGTTTTCCTTCATTGCTGGGTATTTTGTGGCTGACCAGAATGAGTGTGGTCTTTCAAAGCCAAACACCCCTGACGCTAACCACGCATCTGTTCACAAAGATTTTGTTTCATCATCAGATTATGCCATAATAATGTGACTGATTCATTTAGAAGTTCTCCAGACTGTAACATGCAAATAATCGCCTTTCACTGAATGCCATTCCGTTTTCTCATTTCCATTGCATGCCTAGCTCTCATCTGCTAAGCTCACAAGATTTGTTATCGCTGCTGCAGCGGTGTTGAGCTTGAAGGAGAGACTTCTAAGGCCACTGTTACCGGCGCAGAGTCGTCAGGTCAACCTACCAACACGGCGGAGGGAGGGAGTGACCTTGACACAAAGCTGGAGAAGTTGCAGATTGGTCCAGGCTCTGACAGATGGATTGTGGATTCTGATGCTGGTTCAAGTGGCCGAGATGGTGGTGGTCAGCACCAGCAGGAGTGAGAATACCAGTCCAAAAGTATGGTAGAGGAAAAACAGTGCTAGACACATGTTATGTTATGTACTGTCCAGAATAGGATATGCGGGAGTATGTGTATGGCTCAGGTTAGAACAGAACAGGAGGCATATTCGTCAGTTGTATGGAACGCATGGCTCGGTCTTGAGCTCCATGGAGATTTGTGAGAAGTCATATAGTAGAAACATTAGGAAGCTCATACTCCCTCTAATGAGAGATATCGGTACAGGTCTGGAAGTAAACCAAATTTCTGGCTGAGTGGCAGCCATTCTGGCCACAAAAGAACTGACGCTTTGGTTGGTTTGGTTGTGTGCCGTCAGCGGTTTGAACTGTGGTGGTCAACATCTTTCTTGAAAAAAGGTATGAGCAGTGCAGGACTTCTGGAATCCTGATGAATCCACTCTGATGCAAATGCAGCATTGATACTCGCATCTGGCCTCTGTTATGTATGCGTATCTCTGGTGTCAGCAGTCATTTGCTCCACAACTTGATCACACATACGAGAACATGGTGATGTCTGAAAACTTAGCAAATGCGACAGAATAAAAGACTTACGCTGTTACAGAGAAATTCGCTGAGATAAATAGGGCCACAGAAACGAATGTGAACAAGAAACCAATATTTCATCTGCACCGAACAGGGCGCGCACCAATCAGGCAAGATTCAACAACAGCTACTACAAGCAAGATCTGCCCCTCAAGTTGCATCAGCTACTACAAGCAAGATCTGCCCCACAAGTTGCATCTGGCAGTTAACTGGGAAAAGACGGGACCCATCGTAAGGTAACGATAATGCTGCGGACATGGCGTCCGTCCATCTCCGTCCGCCCGAACGCTTGATTGCTTGGGCTGTGGACCAGCCCAGGCAACCGGCCACTCATCTCCACCGGCCGTAACTCAAAAAAAAAAAAAAAAAACGGAATCACCATTTCCTGGTCGGACCATCGTGGCTGGCTCCACCACTGCATCCTAGCCACGCGTTCGCTCCACCACCACATCCTGCGCACACGACCGCTCCACCGCCGCATCCTTCCCGTGCGGCTGCTCCACAGGCGCATTCACCGCGCGGCCCGCCTGCACCACGGCATCCGGCCACCGTGGCCGCTCCATCACGCCACCCGCCCTACCCCAACCCTAGCGGCCTGCCAAGTTTCACCTGTTTCCGGTGGCAGCTCGCGCCAGTAGCTACTACCTTCGCCTCTCCCTCTCCACGGCTGCCGCACCGCGTGCTCCCTCCCAGTAGCGGCAAGCTCTACACTAGTGAACTCCATGCGCCGACGAGCCTCCATCGCAAGCAACAAGGAGATATTGCGCTGAAAGCGCATGCTGCAAACGCATGTTTCACGTGTTTTAGATGTTTCAGAGGTATGTTGCAAGTGTTTTATATCGTTGTTGCAAAAATAGATTGGGATGTTGCACATGTTAAAATGGTTGTACACGTATGTTTTAAGTGTATGTTCCAACTGTTTCATTTGTTTTAGATGTATGTCGCAAGTGTTTTATCTGGATGTTGCAAAAGTAGATCTGAATATTGTATATAAATGCATGTTGCAAGCGTATGTTTCAAGTGTTTTCAGTTGCTTCAAACATATGTTTCAAGTGTTTCATCTGAATGTTGCATATATTTTGCAATGAATACACACATGTTTTTCTGGTGTTTCAGACGTATGTTACAAGTGTTTCAGCTGTTTTGGACGTATGTTCCAAGTGTTTTATCTGAATGTTATAAAAGTAAATCGGGTGTTGCACATGTTGTAATGGGACCTAACTGTTGTAGCCGCCTACTGCAGCTGCTGGAGCGCACGTGCATGCGCGTGGGAAGTGGAGGGATGGAGCGCGGCGTGGCACGGGAAGTGGAGGAGGATGGCGACAGGGGCGCGGCTAGTCCCTGCCTGTGCGTGCAGCAGGATATGTGCGCAGGCAGTCCCCGCTGGTGCGTACAGTAGGGCGCAAGAGCGGGCGTGGGCGGTCCCCCTATGTACAACAGGCGTGTAGCAATCGTTTTTATTGACGGGTGATGTTGCCGAGTGGAATCAGATAACGTTATAGGCTGGGTGGGAGTTGCTCCAAACGCCTCCTAGGGCCGGACGTCTAGGCGCTAGCCAGCGCCGGTCCTGAGTTTTTCTAGGCCTAGATCGAGAACTAATATAGAGGCCTATGTCCACTTTCTAAAAATATTTATATATATTTCTCTCTCTATATATATATAGTCTCACAAATACACATCAATTTATATAATAATATTCGATGCACTAAAAAAACTTATATAGAATATCTCAAAGTTCATAAAATGGACAGATGTAATATTAAATTACTTACTTGGCACTTTGACATTATCTTAAACAATTTCTTCTAACATTTCGAGATGCAAAATTATTGATTATACTATTGATATCGATCTCATCCAATAACTTCTTCTCGATGCATAAAGTCGCCCAACCATTTAACCTTTTTTCACTTTGAAAAGCTTCTTTCAGCTGATGCGATAGTCACAGGGACGGTAAATAAGATCCGATAAGCAATGGAAATATTTGGATAACAATTCACCTCTCTGACATGCTCGAAAATCTCCATAGCAGTACCTTCTGGCAAAGTGAATTTCAAAATCTTCAATTTAGAAATAAGATCATGTACCTCAACATCAGATGATCCATCAACCGATTTTTTTTTGGCAAATTTAGTGCAGCACTCTTCAAGTTCAATATCATCTAGTGACTTTAGGGTGCTTGAGCTCATTAAGAAACCAAATATATCTTTAAACTCCATGAGTTCTTTAAATCTATTCTTTAAAGAAGTTCTTGCCATATCAACCACAGCAAGAAAATATTTGACTTCAAAAGCCTTCTCAGGTTCTAGAATTTCTTCTTGGCAATTACTTTCGTCAAATTGTTTCTTCCTCGTAGCACGATGTTTTACTGGAAATGATGCCTCTACACCCATGTCAGATGCAATGCCTTTGGCGATAATCAGACTAGAAGAAAACCCCTCATTTCTGTATGTCTCAAAGTATTGCATCATACCTTGTATTTGCTGCACTGTAGAGTCAATGCACATGTCTGGCGACTGCAACTTCTTGCTTACTTTATTCATGGCAAATAAAATATCATTCCAGATAACCATACCAAGTATAAACTCAAAGTTGCCAAGGGCATCAAATAATTTTTTTGCATCACTTTTATCCTTAGGTTCAATATCAGGAGAATGACGTAACTCAGATAAAGATGACCTTAACTCAGTAGCTTGATATCTTATTGCTAAAACACTTTTGATTCGACTCTCCCAATGAGTATTGGACAATGATTTCACTGTGAAACTAGGAACATGTTTAAGCAAGACATTCCTAATTTTTGTAGAACCAACAAATAGCACATATATGCGTTGAACAATTCCAAAAAATGAAACAACTTTACCACATGATTTTGCCATATCACATAGAGTAAGATTGAGACTATGACAAGCACATGGCATATATAATGCTCTTGGATTCATATCAATTAACCTTTTTTACCCCTTGGTGTTTTCCTTTCATGTTAGAACCATTGTTATAGCCTTGACCCCTTATATCATTAATATTAAGGCCGAAGGAGTTCATAGCCTCAACCAATACATTAAAAAGCCCCAAACCAGATGTGTCATCCACCTTCAAGAACCCCAAAAAATATTCCTCAATTTTTATTTGGGCATCAGACAAATTAACACATCGAACTAACAACGTCATTTGTTCTTGATGACTCACATCGGGGGTGCAATCAAGAATAATGGAAAAATACTTGGCCTCTTTAACAACATTTATGATAGAGTTTGTGATATCAGCAGCCAAAAGAGAAATCAACTCATTCTGATTTTTATGACTAAGATAATGATAATGAATTTCTTTGTTCCGAATACGTCTGAGGTGGTCTTGCATTACGAAGTCAAATTCTGCTATCATCTCGGCACAAGCTAAGAAATTGCCATTATTATCATTGTAAAGTTGCTCACTGCTTCCTCTAAAAGCCAAGTTGCGTTTGCCAAGAAAGTTCACAATTACAACTATTCTTAATAAAACTAGCCTCAAACGTTCTTTCTCCTTTGTGATTTGCTGCAGCAATTCTTTGTCAATTGTTTGCTTTTTCCGCAGTCTAGCTCTCAATTAATTCCGACTGTTCATATTACTAATATGCTCGGCACTATTTTCATGGTCTTTAAGCTTCAAACTAATATGCCTCCAATCTCTATACCCATCATTTGCTAAGGCACTCGGATTCTTGCTAGTGCTAGACTTGAAGATCTTACGGCAGAAACAAAATACTTTGTCAACATTCTTTGAATAAACTAACCATTTTCTATCATATAACTCTCGGTTGCTTAGTTTTCTAGAATAATGGACATATGAAAAATGTCTTGAGGCAGCATCACGAGGGAATTTGATGTTCTCTTCTCTTATAGGCCCTTTCTCCACTAATATGTCTCGTGCTTTATTATCAAGTTTATCCCAATTTCTTGGATCATAAATATCCAAAGTGTAAACCGGTTGCTCATCAATACTAGTAGATTGTTCTTGTGCACCCGATGCATGAACGGTGTTCTCCGGGTTACATTGTTATCATCGACACCGATGTCGACATTTTCTTCCTCATTCTCATTAGTTGGTTCATCCAGAGCAACTATCACCATCTCATCAGGATTCATCGAAGCAGCTGTACTACTCTTGAAAAAATTATCAATAGATCCTCTCTGTGATTCTATTAATGCATCCACACGTCTTTTCCTTTTCCTTTTGTCATTACCAGATTCGAACTTTCTAAATGACATTATATCCCACGATCCTGAAATTTAAATAAACACAAAATAGTTAAAAAGTGAAAGCGTATGTAACTTGAAACATACAAATAAATTAATCATCAATATGTGCAGCAACGGTGCTTACCTTTGGATGGATGTGGATTGATCCTTTGTCCTCTGCCAACTGCCGTGGTGTGGATCTTGCGTGATGATAGATGAGGGCA